TGCACCACCAGGGGAGGCCCACAGCTCTCATTCTTTTTTTTTTTAATTATTTTATTTTATATAAATCTTACATCTTTTTTCATTTTTGCACAATGTATGCCTTTTCATTTTGGTTATATTCCCCATACAATTCCCACCCCCCCTTATTCTGACCCTAATCTCGCTTCTCCCCCTCCCCCATTCTGTAGTGTGTCTCTGGTCTATAGTTGCTTGCAAAAGAGACAATAACCAAAACAAAGAGAAACCCCACCAACTGGGAGAAAATTTTTGCACATAACACTAACGATAAGGGACTGATCACAAAAATCTACAAAGAGCTGATGAGACTCAACAAAAACAAAGAAAATAACCCAGTCAAAAAATGGGCAAAAAAGCTAAAAAGACACTTCTCCAGAGAGGAAATGCAAATGGCCAACAGGCATACAAAAAAAAGTTCAACATCACTTGTAATCAGGGAAATGCAAATCAAAACTACAATGAGATACTATCATACACCAGTGAGAATGGCACATATTAAAAAATCTAGCAACAGCAAATGCTGGTGAGGATGTGGTGAAAAAGGAACTCTCCTGCACTGCTAGTAGGAGTGCAAACTGGTCCAACCACTATGGAGAGCTGTGTGGAGAGTCCTCAACCTGCTAAAGATAGAGCTTCCATATGATCCAGCAATTCCACTCCTAGGTATTTACCCAAAGGACACAGAAACATTAATTCAAAAGGGCACCTGCACCCCTATGTTTATAGCAGCACTATTTACAACAGCTAAGCTATGGAAACAACCCAAATGCCCAAAAACAGATGACTGGATCAAGAAGATGTGGTCTATATACACAATGGAATATTACCCAGCAATCAAAAAAGATAAATTCATGCAATTTGCAGCAATATGGATGGAGCTGGAAGAGATCATTCTCTGCGAAATAAGGCAGAGAGAAAAAGAAAAATACTGGATGGTCTCACTCATAGAAGGAATTTAGAAAACCTAAATAAGGGACCATGAAAAAGACTAATTGTAATAAAGTAAAAATCAGCTCTCATTCTTTTTTTTAATAAGTAAAAATTTCTTAAAGATTTATTTATTTATTTATACAAGCACTGGGTACAGTCAGAAGCGCGGGAAGGTGAGAGAATTCACCAGAGCGGGGAGCAGAGCAGGCAGAAGGACCAAAGTGCACTGCTGAGGGGAGCACCCACCTCCGGTAGCCGGGGAGCAGCTGGGGATCGAACTGGCGCTGCAGAGGCCGCGCGCAGCTTCGCAGCCCAGCGCTCAACCACCGCGCCACCGGGGAGGCCCAAGCTGTCATACTTAAGAAGAATTTACACCAGGTGGTTTGATTGTTAGGAGAGCTACCTACAGGGTCAGTTTCCAGCAAAGACAGCCTTGGCAATGCGGTGGCTGCATTACCACAGACAGACACTAGGTGGCGCCACAGTACCGTGATTTAGGGCAGCACCAGCGAGGACTCAGCAGGTACAAACCCTCAAGTTGGAGATTACATGCAACAAACTGGAACAGGATTTTCCCAATTAATTTGCAGAGTAGCAAAATTAAAAAACAAAAAAGAACAGAACCTAAGGAACTCAGAGGACATCAAGCAGAACAATACATACATTATGGGAGACCCAGATGAAGAAGAGAGATGGGAAGATAGCCTCTTAGAAACGATAATGGATGGCAGCTAAGTGAAGAGCAGCTCGCCTTCTCCATATATTCTCAGTCAGCTAAATTGCAGGCGAACGAAGAAAACATCATGTAAATTCTGTTTATAGTGATACCAGGACAGGACAACCCCCAAGAAGGAGAGGTGTCTCATGTTTTAGAGACCCCTACAGGGGTCCTTTGAATCAGGCATATGTCAATATTGGGGACTCCTGAGACCCAATACTTCAGTGTTGTTAATTTCACTCTTTTTTATTTGGACCATTCTCAAGGCCCAAGGTGGCATCTCAGTGTGGTTTTTTGTTTGTTTGTTTGTTTGTTTAAGATTTATTTATTTATTTATACAAGCACTGGGTACAGTCAGAAGCACGGGTGGGTGAGAGAATTCACCAGAGCCAGAGTGGTGAGCAGAACAGGCAGACTGACGAAATACACTGCTGAGGGGAGCAGCGGGTGGCAGGAGAGGTCCGCGCTCCATGCGGGACCCTCACTGGCAGCCGGGGATCGAACAGGCGCTGCAGAGGCTGCCGGCAGCTTCGCAGCCCATCGCTCAACGGCTGCGCCACCAGGGATGCCCTCAATGTGGTTTGAATTAACATTTCACTTACAATAAATTAAGAGGAACATTCCTATGTCTGTTGGACTTCAGAATTTCCTCTTTAGCAAAGTGTTTAGTTCCTTTGCCCATTTTTAATTGACTCATTGGTTGGTTTCTTGGATTGGGTGGGAACTTTATAAATTTGGGGGGTTTTTTAAATTTATTTTTATTTTAATTTTTGTTATTTAAAGATTTATTTGTTGATGTATACAAGAGCTGGGGTGCAGGCCAGAGATGCAGGAGTGAGAGCATTCACCAGAGACAGAGCAGAGAGCAGAACAGGCAGATGTGCTGAAATATACTGCTGAGGGGAGCAGCGGGTGAGACAGGAGAGGTCTGGCCAGGAATCAAACTCATGCTGCAGTGGCTGGGAATAGCTTCCTTGTGTTGTGTCTTAACCCCTTGCGCCACAAGGGAGCCCCGGGAACGTTATAAATTTTGTATTGAACTCCTTGTCAGATGTGTGACGTGCAAATATTTTTTATATTTTATAGGATGCCTTTCTGTTTCTGTGCTGGTTTCTTTTGAGGTCCAAAAGCTTTTAGGTTTGGTGTTGTCCCACTTGTTGAATTTTGCTTTTCTTTCCCTTAGTGTTGGGATTGTGTTCCCTAATACATTTTGTTGCAGCTGTCCTATGGTGTACCCCTTATTTTCTTTCAGTACTTCATGCTTTGGGCTCTTATGTTCAGACGTTTAATCCATTTGGAATTAGTTTTCTGTATGGAGATTTGAATGGGTCTTGCTTCTTAGTTTTGCAAGTCACTATACACGTTTCCCACCACCATTTTTTTTGGGAAGATGTATTTATGCATGGAAGAACTGGCATGTGGACCAGGTATTCAGGGGTTGAGAGGGTTCACCAGAAAGAAAGTAAGGAGCAGAACAGATAGATCCACTGAAATACACTGCTGAGGGAAGCAGTCTGGGGTACAGGAGCAGTCCACTGTGCCACATGAGAAGTCTATGGCATAGCCTTTAAGCACAAGTCAAAACTTACTCAAGATCAGAGAATTCATACTGGAGTGAAACGTTAAAATATGAAGAAAGTGGCCATGTCTTTAACCAGAAGTCGAATCACTCTAAACATCAGAGAATGTATACTGGGAAGAAACCAACAAATGTAAAGTGATGTGTGGTTTGTACTCATAGACATTTTGAAACCATCATATTTTCATACTAGAATGACACTTTGAAGAAGTAAAAAAAAGTGAGAAAATAATTAATAATAACATGAATACATACCTAAAAATTGTAATACAGTAATGTCATTAACTTCCCAGATATTAGTTTAAATCAATATTTTTGGGGCATAAACTAACATTAAAACACTAAGTATGTATTAGTGTAATTTAAATGTTAAAGGTGATATATCAGGACAGATATATTTGTTTTCCATCTACTTTTTATCAGATATACTTGAGGTATTATGAACTGGGGATGAATGTCATTTAGCTCTAATTCACTCCATTCTCTGGCTTTCTCCCCTTGTGTATATGAAGCCATGTGTTTGCTTTATTGTTGCTTCAGACATCTGAGAGACCCTCCTAGTAGAGGGATTTGTTCATATCTAACTTGCAGTGTAAATTTAAGACAGTAATGTACCATGTCTCCAGAAAATCTAAATGGATATGCTGCTTCTGGTTGACTCAAGATTGATCTGAATCACCAAGAAGAATTATGGGCTACATTGTTGGCATAAAAGTCAGACAGAGGAACATGCTGAAGTTGAAATCATTTTCTCCTTAAGGGAAACACAGTTGATTAAAATTATGATGTTTCTTCACAGTAGTAATAGATGTCATGAATATTATTTGATGTTGTTGTGAAAAAAGTTCTTCACAGGCACGTGATGATGTTTCCATGACAGGGGATAGAATTCTGTGCATGCACATTAGCTAAGTAATGATTCTCTCTGTTGACCACCAACTCTGAGATCCCTGTATCAGAAGAATAAGAATGTTTGTTACATGCCTGCCTCTCGATTTTGACCAAGTAGCATACAGTGACATCTGTATATTTAGAGTATATGTCAACTTAATATATGTGCTAATAAAGCTGATTTTTAAAAAAAAGATTTATTTATGCATACACGGACTGGGGTACAGGCCAGAGGGTTTTTTTTTGGGGGGGGGTGAGAGAATTCACCAGAGACAGAGCGGGGAACGGAACAGACAGATCAACTGAAATACACTGCTGCAGGGAGCAGCGGAGAGTCAGGAGAGGTCTGCTGCGCCATGTGGGTAGCTCCCTGGCCGGGGATCGAACTTGTACTGCAGAGGCTACGGCTAGCTTCATACTCTGTGTCTTAACCTCTTGCACCACCAGGGAGGCCCATTAAATCTGATTTCTTGATGTGGAAATCCTCATGTATATTTGATCAGTGTTTTTGCTGTTCATGGAAGAAATGCAGTGTAGGCCAGAGGTGGAGTGGGTGAGAGGATTCACCAGAGACAGAGTGGGAAGCAGACTAGGAGGAGGTTTACCTCACGAACTGCTGAGGGATCAGCCCCTGAGACAGGGGAGCACGCGCGGAGCCGCCCAGGGCTCCGGCATTGGGCTTCCGGGCTCGTCTGCGCAGGCGCGGCCCGGGCCGGCGCCCTCTTCCCGGAAGTCCGGCCTCCGCTCTCGCCGCCGCCCGCGCGGGTGAGTGGACCTTGTCTCTGGAGGGTGGGGCTGGGGCGACGCGGAGGAGCCGCGGGGTGTGGGGAGAAGGGGGAGGTGGGGTTTGCGGACAGTGTGGAGAGAGGAGCTTCCGGCGGGGACCTGCGGGCAGCTGTCGGGGAGGAGCCGCGGGCCTGTGACCGGGCGCCTGGGAAGGGGCGGACCGTGACTGGGTGTCGGGGGGCCCTGAGGGTAACGCAGGGTGAGCCCCTCCAGTTGACGGCCTTTAGTGTTTTCAGGAGTTCTCAGTGGGAATGTGAGGTTCTGTTGGTGGTTGTCATGGAAGTTAACAAGTCCTCGCCCACGGGGACTGTTAGAAACATGGAGTGCGGCGGGTTTACGTGGATCCCTGAGCGTTTTCTGTGTCAAGATCCACCCGCGTTCACTGCCTTTCACAAAACACGCCTGACCATTTTGTTTCTGGAAGTCGGGCGGTTCTGCATTTTGGGCTTTTCCCTCCACTGATGCTGGTGCTGCCGGGATGACGCAGGAGGCTGCAGTTCCCTGGTGCCCTGATGAGGCGGGTTGGGGTAAGAATTTCACTCTCTGCTCGGTGGGTTTATCGTGGCTCTCACTTGGCCATGTGCCCCTGACAGGCCGGCCGCGGGTGTCTTCCCAGGACGACGGCGGCCCAGAAGGGAAGCCCCCCTGGAAAGAGGTTTTCATTCTCCGCGCGTGCACTGATTCCCTTTGGCCCAACATCCCGGGGCAAACCCACCTCATTGTCAGAGGGGGGTGCACAAGGAAATGAATCCAGGGAGCAAGGCTCTCGGAACCATTTCTGGGAATGAACCATTTCATTTCCTTTGAAAATGTGTCCAAAATTTTTTTGAGTGATTAATCATCCTTGAAGTTTTATTTTATTTTATTTTTTTTTAGTTCTTAGCATGAACTGTTATTCAATCAGTAGGAAGTATCAGTTTTTATTAACTTATGGTAAATTGTAAACCTAAATTCTACTAATAAGGGACTTGGTCCTTTCCTGCCCCTTCTAGAAGTGTAACACAGCTGTCACATGAAGTGAGTTTCTGGTCTCTCCCAGGCAGTGTGTTGAGGGCTCTGGACAGGAGACTCCAGGGTCCAGGTGCCAGCTGCCTCAGTCCTCTCATGCTGGACCCTTCCACCTCTCCCGGTGCCACTCCAGAGTCCTTATGCATTTCTGAGAGCAGCAGACAATGAATCAATCTCGGGTGAGTAAATTGTTTTTCTTTAGCTTGTGGTCTGTACACTGACTTTATGCACTTTATGAGAGTTCATAAACTGAAATGCAAAAGTAGAAAGGTATAAAGTTTTCTCCAAGGAAACATACATCAGCAAGACAAAGATGTCATGCAGATCCATGCAAAGCATATACCCCACATGCATGGAAATTGGATTCTTCCATAATGCTGTGTCATAGAGTGAGACGCGTGTTCCCTGATGAGACCAGACCCCTGGGGGACACTGTGCTGCTTGTGGTGGGACCTGAGCACTTGCAGAGCAGAGTCTGACACTGGTTCTCTATTGACTGGTGATGACGTGGACCGTGGCTCTTCACCTGTCTGGAAATACACACTTACCTTGTTCTGCACTTGTCATAGTTAGCTCTTAGATGCTAGGTGAAGGCCCAGTGAGAGGAAAGGTGGGTGCAGACCTGAATGCAGGTGTGGGTGCTCTCTTTAAACAGATCCTGAAGGGCCTCCCCGGTGGCGCAGCGGTAGAGCGCTGGGTTGCGAAGCTGCCCGCGGCCTCTGCGGTGCCGGTTCAATCCCTGGCTGCTCCCCGGCCACCGGAGGAGGGTCCCACATGGCGCGCAGACCTCTCCTGCCGCCCGCTGCTCCCCTCAGCAGTGTACTTCGGTCCTTCTGCCTGCTCTGTCCCTTGCTCTGGCTCTGGTGAATTCTCTCACCCTCCCGCGCTTCTGACTATACCCAGTGCATGTATAAACAAAACAAACAAGCAAACAAATAAATAAAGAAAAACATGCCTCTATTAAAAAAAAAATCTTTTTAAAAAAAAATAAATAAATAAACAGACCCTGAAAAAACTTAGTGTGTCCCAGACAACTGTTGGTGGCCCTTTCATGCTGGGATTAATCTTGGATTGTGTGACAGTTGAATTCAATGGGAGGGGGGCTTCAATAACTCCCCATGCTTTTTCTCAGGTTGTCTGTGCACCCACACAAGTTGCCCAGTGGACTGTTCAAAGTCACATTATCTGACAGCTGTTCTCACTGCTCCTTTGCATTTCTCCTTGATGCAGTCTCAAGTTGGACTTGTACTCCAGCCCAGTTACACGTCACTAACCTTTGCATTCCTCAGATTTCCTGCCACATTGATAATACTGTCTATGACCTTCTGGAATCTTTTTTCAATTGTTTAAAACTTTTATATACTTAATAGTGTGTTAGTTTACTTTCTTTACTTTTTGGCTGAATCTCTCTTTGACATTGTCGCATTACTAGCCCTCTCCTGAAATAGTGTGTTGTTTTTCTCCTGCTTTCCTGATGGATTTGGCCCTCTAGCAAGCACCCTGGCCCATTTCCTGGTCCCTTGGTCAACATTATCTTCTTTTTGCCTTGCAATTTTACTCCTACTGTTTTTTTTGTGTATAAATATTGTTTTTGTATTCATACACCATAGGTACATGAAAGCTTTTTTTTGTTTTTAAATATTTATTTATTTACACAAGAACTGGGGTATAGGCCAGAGGCATGAGAGGGTGAGAGGATTCACCAGAGACAGATCAGGGAGCAGAACAGGCAGACAGACTGAAAACACTGCTGAAGGGAGCAGCAGGCGAAACAGAAGAGGTCTGCTGCCCCATGTGGGTATCTCCCTGGCAGGCCTGGAATTGAACCCACACTGCAGAGGCTGTGGATAGCTTCATAGCGCTGCTCTCCATCCACTGTGCCACCAGGGAGGCCCTCAGACGTCCTTTTTTCACTTATTTCACTCAATATAATCACCTCCTGGTCCACCCATTTTGTCCTAGATGCCACCCTTTGGTCTTTCCTCACAGGCATGTAATAATGCTGTTCAGTATGTGCTCCACATTTCTCTCTCCATTCACCTGTTGAAAGGCCTTCAGTTGCTTCCATGACTGGGCAGTTGGGAACAGTGCCCAGTGTATTGGGTCATTCTTAAATTCCAGGAAACGCTCCCAATTGTTCACATGGTACAGTTGTTAAATATCCTTTATAATTCAGTGTGTATGGATACTTAGGACTCTGCATCAATGTTGGTGATGGGTACTTTTGAACTGCTCTTCATTTTTCCTAATATCTATTTAATGCTGCCTCATAGAAAGTATTTTAATTTTTTTTCTCTTCTTCACACTTTTGAAATTTTGAGGAGAATTGTTTAGTTTTTCTTTAAATTTTTTGCCAGTTTATTCATGAATTCATCAAACCAGGAATTTGTTAATAGTTTTATTCTTTTAATTACTCTTGCTTTTTCTTTTACATTTTTTTAAACAAGATTTATTTATTTTTGCATATAAGAACTGGAGTACAGGCCAGAGGTGTGTGGGGTGAGAGGATTCACCAGAGAGAGTGGGGAACAGAACAGGCAAATGTAATGAAATACATTGCTGAGGGGAGCAGTGGGTGAGACAGGAGAGGTCTACTGCACCGTCTAGGGATCTCTGCGGCTAGCCAGGATCGAACCCACGCTGCAGAGGCTTTGGACAGCTTCACAGCGCTGCATTCAACCGCTGTGCAACCAGAGGAGGCCCTCTTCTTGGTGTTTTTGTTTTTCAAAAAGATTAGAAAATAGCTGTTTACCATAAACTTCATTGATTTTCCTTTGTTATATTAAATCTGATGTGTAGCCCTTCAGTAAATTTTTTATGTTGATACTCTACAACCTCCTGTGTTCATTTGGATGTTTCTCAAGGTCCCATTTCACTCCCAATTGTGCTTTTAATACACTGTTTTTATATTTTCCTCTACATACTTATTTGTATTATGGATGGCTTAATCTTGTCTTGTACCTGCAGGATCACATATATCTTGCCTTTAGTTCCTAATGACTTTTTTTTATTAGTATTAATAACATTTTCCTTTTTCCATAAGCGATAGCAATTCTGAGTTATACCTTGTTTAGCTATTGTAAGTCACATCTCGTAGAGATTCTGGATCCTGTTATATTTTTAGGAAAAGTGATTTTGCTTAAATTCCATTTGGGAAGAGGCTCACAGGGCAGGGTCCAGCATTCATCAGGCATTTGTTTCCCTTCCTCTCCCAAGAGAGCTTTTTTTAAAAAGATTTATTTATTTATTTATGCATACAAGAACTGGGGTACAAGCCAGAGTTGTGGGGGGGGTTAAGAGGATTCACTAGAGACAGATTGGGGAACAGAACAGGCAGATTGACTGAAATACACTGCTGAGGGGAGCAGCGGGTGAGCCAGGAGAGGTCTGCTGTGCCATGTGGGTAGCTCCCTGGGTGGGGATCAAACTTGTGCTGCAGTGGCTGCAAATAGCTTCGCAGGTTGTGTCTTAACCATTTGTGCCACCAGGGAGGCCCTCCCAAGAGAGCTTTGTGGGCAGTGTTGTTCCTCCTTTGTGGCGAGGAATGCCATTAAGTGCAGACTAGTGGCCACCAGGGTCCTGCACTTGAGCCTAGAATTGCAGCTGTATTGGAGTTTGTCCTGTGGACATGGTCAGCCTCTTCTGTCGTTGAACTCTATGCGCAGCCTCTTATTAATTGAGCTGATTATTCTTGCTGATAACCAATCTTGCCACCATAAATACATGTGGCACTAGGACGGCTGTGTGACCCAAAACTGTCAGGTGGACAAAGACCATCGACAGCACTCAGGATACATCAAGGACTCAGAGTTCCCTACCTCTAAGCCCCAGAAACGCTGAGACCTGAGACAGTTGAGTGGCATTTTAAAGGGACTGAAATGGGAAAAATTGCCAAAGAACCCTGTGTCCGACAGACCTGTCACAAGGGAAATAAAGACTCCTTTACGAGAACTGCTCGTGAGAGGAGGCTGTATCTTTCTGTACAGGAAGACCCCACTGCGAGCAGTATACACTGCACTGTTCACGTGTCCATTCACATACGCCCCTATATATACGTATACACGTGTGCTTGTGTGTTTATGTCCAGTCGCACCCCCTGTATTGGTAGATGGTCCTTTAGGAGACAGTCAAGGTTCGTTAAGATAAGGTTGGGGTCCTTCATCCACCAGCACTTGTGACCCTGTAACGGGAGGAGGCGGTCTAACTGCCCACCACACCTGCTCTCAGCTGATGCTGCCTCGTGCAGGCTAAGCATGGAGCCTGTCATAGCAGCCCCTGACATGACTGGCTCATGACTCCCCAGTCTCCCCAATGGTGACCAAAGGGTTTATTTCATCATACAGTCTGTTTATGGCTTCCTGAGCCCCTGATGCTGGGAGGTACAGTGAGTTTTTGTGGCCAAATGTATGCCATCCACCTTCTCACCTTTCTTAATAGTTTTATTTATCACATTCACATTTTCCTCAATTAGCCTAGAATAGGAATGATTCTTGTTGTCATAGCACTGTGTTAGCCTGGTTACCTTGGGAGAATTGTCGTCATTGCAGGCAGACTCATCCTACCCATGACGCTGTTGTGTTTGTTCATCTGTTTAATTTCTTTTTAACCCTCAGGTTTTATTTTTTCCTGCTCATTCTCTGTCCTTGGTCTTGTTATATATATATATATATTGCTCAGTATTTTCTTCTCTGATTGCTACTGTCCGGGAACTCCAGTGTATGTGAAGACTTACATATATTATTTTATAGTTTGCTCATTGAATTTTCCTCTTTAGAGTAGCTTTAATGTGATTTTCAAAGTCTTCAAAGGATGAATTGTAACTACTTATGACTAGTTTTATTCATGATTTCTTTTTTTCTGTTGTGTAGAGTTATCCTAACCCTTTGTGAAGAAGGTGTAACTGAGCATCTTTGTTATTCCTTGTCTCTGTGAATGTTGATGTCACCTGTGGCTGTGTCAAGGATACTAAATGTTGTTAAGGAAAAATCCTCTCAATCCTTTATTTTGTTGTTGTTATGATAATGGAGAGTATTTGTCAAAGGTCCTAATCAATGTATATGTGAATATACATAGGATTTTGTACACAGCAATACGAGATGATGGAATACATTAACAGATTTCTTAAGATTGAAGTTTTCTTTTGCCCAGTGTCATCTTTTCCAAAAGTCTTTTCATTGCT